GAACTCAATATCAAACAAACCTCAAGATTTTCCGAATGCTGTTTGAGCTGCAGCACAAACTGAGCGCGTCGGTCCGTTAACTTGGAGCGGTTATTTTGCAATTCCACCTCCTATTCATCCAACTGTGAGTGAACCTCAGCAAGTTGATGCTAGAAAAACGACCCAAAAATTAGTTAAGCGATACACCGACGATTACAGAAATGTCGTGATCAAGGGCATTTTAAAATTATTGAGAGGTATGTAGAACATTCAACATCAGCCGGGAGTTGAACCTGCGATCGTCCATGTTTGTAAGCGCGTGCTACCCACTATATTTCTGCAGTCTCCGTCCCGCTAGCACCTTTTCTGCGATAAATCCTATCGATCAAACCGTTTCAAAGTTGATTTCTGACAGCTACGACTGGATATATCTAGGAAAGAGTCACCAAGCTGGAGGCCTCTTTAGTTAAGAGGAAAACCGTCGCACCTATTCGTTATCCGTACCCTGTTTCGAACCTTCAAGAAAATAGACTTTTTAGGCTTATTAATCATTAGACAGCTTTCGTTTCAGAGGAAAATGAATGGTGAGTTCCATTCTCAAAATAACTCCAGCATTACGCTAAAACAGCAAAAATAATATTTTGCTTCTCATTGAATCATTTCTCGCTGTGCAGAGGTTTTTCTTTAGACTTCTAATGACCATCTGAGACTGCATTTTGCAAATTTAAATTAAATTTGTTATATGCACTTTTTCTCTGTGTTTTGAGAAAAAAGCGTCGCTTCTTTCTGGTTAAGGGGATCAAATGAAAAACCGATCTCACTAGCTGGAGAGGATTTTTTCATAAAGGTGTTAGCAATCATTCGAAAGCTGAGTCTTGAGGCTACAGCCTCACTTGGCCTAAAATTCAAAAATCTCTTTATAGCGCTGTAACATACAAAAAAGAATAATGTTTCATAAAACAATGAGTGTTTATCTATTACCTCTCTTATATTTCGTTAGATAAAAATCCTTCCGGAGAGTGCAAGTACTCAAACCATAGCACATGCTTCGAGAGCTGAAAAATGCGTTTGATTTCTAAAAAGCTCTTCTGATCTTTCGCTCACCTCTAATCTTTTGATCTGTTCTTTAAACCTTAACGAACAGAGTTCCTTCTTCAGAATGTTAGTATCATCTGATAGCGTGATCCCTTCTGACTCTAGCTATGTATTTATTTTCTGGAAATACGGCTTGGCAGGGGAAATAAGATCGAGTTTCACATTTTCAGCAAGTTATTTATCGACTATTCAACAGTGTGACATCCGTGGTAGGGGGCGAGGAAAGGCGACACAACCGATACTTAATTTCAAATAGATGTTTTTCTTCTCCTCTAAGAAAAAGCACCAGATGAAGCTATTTACTAAAATACTACGAAAATTTCTCTACACATTTATATGCTCTTCGGCTTCCAGCATATTATACGCCTGATAAAAATGAAGGTGAAAGGCAAGTGTTAAATATAATTTTTATCTGAATGCTACAGCGTTATAAGGGAGTGTTTTCGAAAATCGGCGACGCGGGATTGTAGTCTGAAGTCTCAGCTGACGAAGAGTTACTAACACCTCTAATGGATGGTTCCTCTACTGCGAATGAGAAAGGTTTTTCACTCGATCCTTCTAGTCAAAAAGAACCAACGAGTCTTTCGTTTTTTTTTTGTAAATTTTAAATAACCTAATAGCATAAATCTCAAAGATTTCGAAATTGTTATTTATTTTCGACATGCCTTCATCATTGCGCTCTGACAGCAAAAATAAGGATACGTTTCTTATCCAACTGACTGTGGCTAAGCAAAACTTTTCTCCTAATCTTATAGCAATTATTCAAAAGCCCAAATCTCGACTATTCTAGTAATGTGCTTTTTTTTTCCTCTTGAGTGCTAGTACTCAAACTATAGCACAAACTTCAAACAACTCAAAAATGTGTTGGCTTTTCAAAAAGCTCTTTTGACATCTTGATCTCCTCTGGGCTCTTAGAGTGTGCTTTGTTCCCTCGCCTAGCAGTGTCTTTCTTGAGACTATTACTAATCATCGGATATCGCATTGTTTGTTGAATCTAGCGATTTCCTTATTTTCTGGAAATATAATGTAGCAGCAAAATTCGATCGAGTTTGCATCTGCGCAACGTTGTTTGCAGGCTATTTGGCAAGACGGGGACCGTGACAGGAGCGTGGCGTAGCTGGATGGTCGATATATTGTTATTCATATGGGAATTTTTCCTCTGCTTCGAGAAAAACCCCGGACAAAACAATTGGCTAAGATACTACGAAATATTTCTACACTCTGATATGTTCTTCGGCTTTTAGTGAATTATACGACAATCTATTAATCTAGCAATCTATTATCTATTATAATATACCCAATAATGTGGAGTGATGTGCAAAAAACCTATTTGTTAGCCGGGATTCAAACTCAGATCTCACTCTTTTCGAAAAGAGTGAGATCTGGGTTAGAATCTCGTCTAACGCAAATGTTTTTGCACACCAATACACATTATTGGGTGTATCATAATACCATACCACAGAGGCGGTCAAATAAATGAATTTCGATTAATTGATGGCGGTTTAGTTGCTGGCAGACTGATGCGTTGTAGTGTAGAAAGAATGGTGGCAACAATGTATCGGTAGTGCAATTAAATATTCACGCCCTAGAAACGGTGAAGTGCGGGTTCAGTTCGCGCCTAGCGTCGGTATTCTTCACATCGCTCAGCATCATTGAGTATTTTTTGGTGTTCTGCTTTTACTACATTGCTATTCAGGTTGAGCTACTTCTGGCGGAGCTCGGCATCTTTGAGAAAAATCATACATTCGTTATTGGCCTTGCGGCTGTCGTGTCATACTCCGGCTTTATGACTGCAGTCATCCAGCACAACGGTTTGCAGTGATACTCTTCACCTTTTTGGTAAGCCTAGTCCGAAAATCTTCTCTAAGTTGATCTCATCCGTCATCTTTGTAGCAGTGGTTGTTATCTATGAGAACAATATATCTGCGAATGCAAAAGCTCCTACTCTTGTATTATGTTGTAGAAAAAGTTCTGTCGTGTTTCATGAATGCGAATTTATTTGTACACCGCTTCAGCTCAAACAAGAAACATTAATAGTCAAAGTAGTTTCCTTCCACATCAAGACCAATCACGAAATCTCTTTAACCAACGCTGAGCTGTGCGAACATAGCAAATTTCGTCACCGCACACCTTCCAGATTTGTATGATGAGCTTCTGAAGCGCTAACATCCAATTTATAGAGAAAAGTAGACAAATTTCTTTTTTGAAAAGTTCCATTCTGGAATTTGAGTTCAAAAAAAAGATGTATCCTTTGATGCGCCTTGAAACGAGCTTTGCGTTGAGCTCAGATTCGCACAAAATACTGTGCGAAAATCATTTTTTCAGGCAATACGGCACAACTTTTTCTACAACATGTTACTATCCGGTTTAAATAATATTCGAGTAACAGAGTAATTCTCAGCGTAGCAAAATTCACCGAAATTGCTTATGCATTGCTGGTACCACTGGCCTGATGTTCCTTGTCAGTCGTTGAATCATTGATACTTTGCGACTAATGCTCGCACGGTTCCACAGCATTAGTCTGAGCTTCACTAAGACCTTTGCATGCTATAAAATTCGTTGGTGAGTGGTTATGTGATTGTGGATTCGTTAATTACGCTTATATAGAAAGGTATCAATAATCGTAAAACAGCTTTTATCGTAGAAAGAGTCATAACACAACCAAAGGGTGAGATGCTGGCACAACTTCCGTTCGAAGTCAGAGTTTCGCGTATCACCCAATATTTTTAGATATATACAATATGGTGACATATGTAAAATCAGTTGTATGTGAGAATTTTTGTCAGTTAAAATGCGCATTGTAGATGTACAATTATGGAGCGCATACCAACGCATTTAATAATGGTCTGAGAAAGGAGCCGAGTGTTAAGTGATAGGCTGTTATTACAGGCGCTGCATGGGTTCAAGCAAATGATTGATTCTGTGTTTACCATCGGAATCGCTTCAATTACTTTTCGATATTACGCAACTCACTGTACTTGACATAAATTTTCTTCCCGCTTTTTTCTTCTTTTCATCATTTGCCTTTGTCTGGTTGCTTGTCGTCTATTTTCTTTCACCCTTTGGTATTCGGAGCGGAATATGTGTCGTTCTTTTTCGTGGATTATTTTAGAAGTTCCATAATGTCTTTGTGTTTTTCAGTTGCCGTTATTTCAAGAATAAAATCGGCAAACGCACCGAGAGAAAACACTGGCCTAATCGTTTCAAGGTGAGCTGTTATAGTTCATAGTTTGTTCTACAAAAGTGTTATGCATGTTCACGTTATTTATCCAATGCACTTCATAGCTAACATGCCACGTAATTGTATTGGCCTTATAGTATTGCAAGAGCTTTTGAGAATTATCTCTTAGTGATCTCCCAGTGTTCTCCGATTTGAGCATAAACCTGTATTGGTGTTGATTCAAAGGTCTTTCAATCATGATATCCTTTAGAGAACAGTCGCTTAGTTTTTGGCGTTTTACCATTGCGCATGCTTTCTACGTGATAGTGTATTCATGTATACCTTTGCTGTACTCGTTCTAGAATTTAGTGTTAACGATTATCAGGTGGTGTTGCTATTGTTAATGTTATTGTTGTCGATGTTCTTCGTTTCATGGAGCATCTACTCAGCCTTAAGAATCAAATAGTATGGCGTATGATGTGTTGTGACATGGCACATTCAAGTTGCTTGACGCACTGCTTGAATTCAGTGGCAGTTCAATCAAGATCAGTTTTTTTTTTTAAATGAGGCAGAAGCTATCACTAAATGCCCGGAGTGCAATATGCACAGTGTAACTGCGGTGAGTGGTTGAGGTTCACGAAATACACTTCATGTGCGGAACAATCTTTGGTTTCAATAATAAATCGGAAACCATTTTATTTGGACCCTATTGCATTGTTATGATGTTACAATATACCCAGTGATGTGGAGTGGTGTGCAAAACGTTTGTGTCAGCTGGGACTCGAACCCAGATTTCGCTCCCACCGGGAGCGCGTGCTGAACCGTTACACTACCGACGCTCATTTTTTACACTACTCCTTCTACGCTACAACGCGTTACCTGTCAACAGCCAGCCGTCTACGGCTTCCGGGAAGAGTGTATTATGGGTTCGAGTCAATGCTGACGCAAACGTTTTTGAACATCACTCTAAATCATTGAACTTTTGGTTTATTTTGATACCCAGATTTTTTATATCGCAATTCTCGTGCTCGATCGGTAGGCTTTCCATTACCAGTTCATAAGTCAGACTTCGATAATGGAAAGTGATTTCGTTATTTCATTTTTGACAAAAAACCTCTCTCTTAAGAACTTCTTGGTCGACATCTGATTACTGTTCATTTTAGTCCTTAGCAAGAAGCCTAACTATCGTATCCAGTGGGCGAGCGTAAAATATGCAGGCATGAGCCCTACATAAGTTGCAAAACAACTCCGAAACTCAAAAAGAATGTGACGTATAGTGCAGCTCAGAAGGAAATAATTAACCTACAGCGAGCGATAGGGGAAAGTGTGTTGAAAGACGCGACGTTCTTCACCCCTCATGTCACCTAGTTATCGAGAGAATGATGCTCAGTGTATTAAAGTAAGCAAATTCAGAACAATTTGAACGCATTCGGCGTTATGTGTCAGTTGTCGTGATGTGATGCATATTCAAATCTTCTTGAACAGTGTTTTCCATGTTTAAGAGCAAAGGGAACGAGTTAAGTGTTGGAAATGCTCCAAAGACCTTTCTTATTAAATAAGATTTCCTTCAACTAAAGTTTTCAAACAGCCGTATAAGAACTTCTTACGTTGTTATCGTAAAACTTTCTCATGGATCAACGAAAGATTTGCCATCTCGTTGAAAGTTTGAACTACGAAATTGTTCTTGACCATTATACTAATTGATGCATTGCTGACGAGCTGGCATGAGATTGTTGAAGCAGTGTAAGCTTCAACTTAATTAGTCCTGCAGATGACTTCGTCTTTGAAATTTTGGAATGGGAAAGTTCAGTATCTAAGCTACTTGATTTAATTTCAGTGACTCAATTAAGACACTTAAATAAGTGGTTATATTGAGCAATTTAAAGCTTAGAATTTATGGAAATGGCAGACGACTCTGTAGAAATCGAATACACTATGTCGTTGCAGTTAGTCTATCAAGAGGTAAGACCACCCGTAATGAATTTATGGGAGATGTTGAAATGTCAGTTCAATAATCTTTTCAGTTCATAACTGGGTTTTTGGAAATGATCCACTATATTGTTATGCAAGCTAATGATGTGACTGTTGTTATTTCGGGTTTTTTTGACTCGAAAGTTGATATAAACAATGAAATATCTATTCGCGCCAGGACATCTTCCGCATTAGACGTGGCCTGAAGAAAAAGAGTGAAAAGGCCATTGAAAGCTTCGATCAGTGGATAAAAATGTATGGAAATGGACAATTTCCTTGTCGCCATGATCTGCTTCAGTTGAGTCACCCCCTCCGTGAAGTGCTGAGGAGATTTGGTGTGGTCTAACAATGGAGCAGATTTTTGTCGATTGTGGTAAACGGCCCATTTTTCTATGGAAGAGAAATGGGTTGTGGTTGCGAAGGGGGAAGCACCGGCGGGGTCTTAAATCGGCCAATCTTCAATTTTGACCCACTCAAGCGCATTAGGCTGCCGATCGTAGTAAACTGTAATGACGGACCGTACTGTGAATTGTGAGCGAACGAATCCAATACAGGAAGTGGTGGTATCCTCTCAGTAAATGTGATGTGTCGAGTCATGCCAAGTAGATGTGAAATCAGTAAGCTTGGACTTGTACTGTTTGGATGGAACTGGTGGGAAGTAATCTTGGTACACTCGATTAAAAGCCGTGCTGTGATTTACTGTGAAGTTCTGAAGCCTTATCTTCGTGATCAGAAAACCATTCAATCCAAAACGTTTGCAAGTTCACTGCAGGTAATCGATTTTGGATCTCATTTCGGATTATTTGTACTTCTGTCTTCTTCAGTTCATTGAGATCCATGAACGTTGTTTCTTAATCACTAGTATCTTTTGAAAAGATCGTGATGTCGGGCGAAAAGTTCAGCTTTGGTAACGGCTGCACTGATCTCGATGATAGTTTTTTTTCTCTTGATGACTCAGCAATATGCCTGATATGGGAATAATTTTCATTCATTCGGCAGAAAACACTTGGAAATGGTGTAAATATCGATTTTATATCACGTCAGACCGTCTCCGTAAAAACCTACAGAAATAAAACTAGCATTGGTCAGTCCCTGATGGAATTGTCATACATCGTAAAAGGTCAATGAATGCATATCTGGCTTATACAATGACTTTCGGGAGGCTATCGATCTATCAAGTCAGCCCGACCATTCTTCTGAGCAGGTATCAGTTTGTAGGCCTGAAAAGGGTGCGAGGCTTGACGAGCCCAGTGCGTTCGATTGAACTGACAACAGCATGTGCAATACAGCTTCTTTTATTGTTCTGATACATGTTCCTTCCTTATTATTCATACGCTAACTGGTTTGTGTCTACTTGTCATCCTACATAGCACGATTGTTGTGTGGAACGTATAAATTGAGAAAGTTCCACATATTTTCATAGTCATCGAAGACGATTTTCTCTTCCAGTGGATCGAATATCCGAATCTGGTTCACCTGTATGAACGTGTCGTAAAAATGCTCACACCGGATAGTCTTTCCAGAAACGTGAGTCCATTGTTTAATCCGACTATGTTTTCAGTCTGCTATTGAAGTCCAAATGCTTTTGAAGTTTCAGTAAACAAGTGTTTATAACGTTATAGGTATCGTGTTATGAGGAAGCCTTTACTGACCACAAACGCTTGCACGAAAGAAGCTCTACTGCGAGTTTTCGAGATTGGAAAAGTGCGAACAGCTTCTCAAAACATCACTTTAGG